TCATTTATGTGTCTTTGATGTACATACATATAAATATAATAGTTTGGAGAAACAAAAACACGACATTAGGTTGCCAAATACTTCCCTACACTCCAGAGGAAATATTTCTATTTTTCTTTTTATTTACAGTTAAGTGCCTCATAAAACAAATGTATTGGCATCTCATAAATTCTGATGTTTCATTACAGATTTATCTGTCCCACTATTCATAAAGTATATACAAGGAGTTCCATCACCACCAGCTGCAGCATCATTGCATAATTATTTGCATAAGCAAATTATGTGTATATGTCATATCGATCAGGACTGCATTATATTGAAGAAGAAAAAAACTGACATTGCAAGATTTTGTTTTTCTGCAGTGTATTTTGCAATATAGAAATATACTGTAGTTTACATCACATAACTTGGAAACACTGTAATTGTAAAGAATCGGTCATTTGAGATTGAGGTGATTTTGTAGGGGAGTGCATCTGCATAGACATATTTTTTTTCCAACCTTTCTCATATGGTGTTTAATCGGCATCCAGAATTTAGAAGGCATTCAGATCTGGCTTTTTGCTCGTCATACAGAGCTTTGTGGTACTTCCTGGGGTGGGAATAATTGCAGGACACTGCATACAGGGTACATGGGTTTGCTCAACCCTCAAAATATTTCCATACAATTGATGTTGCATTTCTTTTAGCAACCAAATCGTTGTTTTTAGTGTTTCTCTCCTGTTTGTTTTTGCTGTGCACATGTGGAGTCTGCATATCAACAAACTTGGTGTCTTGTGAATACAGGTTAAAGAAAAAACAAAAAACTGCATTCAGGAATCCTTTAAATTGGACTGAATTATGTTCTGTGAACCAGACATCTCTTATAGGTTAGTCATATTAAATTACACGTATTCTTTTTGTAACGGCAAAAAAGTGGCAGCATATTATGATTTGGTTAACTTGCCTTTATTTACATTGCTCTTAATGCTATTTGACTGTTGCGCTTGCACACATTGCAGTGTTAATGCTGAAACAGTATATTGTGCATCCTTGGTTATAAAGTAAAGTAAAGGGAATTTTATCCATCCTTTGCAAGAGATAAAGCCAATAAATGAGGATAAAACTGCAAAAATATGACCTAAATTTAATAAGATCTCAGCAGATGGTGTTTAGACTTAAGTAAAAAAATAAGTGCCACTTCCCATTGATGCTTCAGAAAAATATCCATCCAGTGCCGTGTCAGTGGAGAGCGTTTAATGTGAGGAACTAGCTACAATAACAGTTGTATTTAGCTAAAATTAGTAGAGTGGATAGGAAACCTTACGAGTGCTCGCTGTTAAATCAAAGTAAGAAAAGAATTGTAGGAGTAACACAAATCTCAAAGACTACAGGACATGGCTAACAAAATTTCAGGTGACAGCAGCTACAGATGTCCTCAAGTCAGAGACATTCTTCAGACTCTCCACATCAAAAGTGAGAGGTCAGCGCTGCACAAGTGCTACTGAAGTGTTCATTCAATCCATTCCAACTGCAGCCACAGTCGGTTGACTGTGACGTTCGAACCAGTTTCCCTGGAAGCAGCACAGGATCTGAGAAGCTGAGAAGTCAAACTGTCGTCATTACCCGGCCAAATATTAGAAATCAACTGGACAAAAACATGCACTGGAAGAAAGCAGCATTGCTGTGAATCGTTTATTTTATTAAGCTTTGATTTTACTAAATCAGAACGCTCATAATGACACAGAGAGCCTCGTTTAGTCGTAGATACCTTTTAATGAATTCACAGAAACATTGGCCAGAAACATTGAGAGATTAGTTTGATTCATCTAATCAAAAAAAAACCACATCGAGTACTGTGATGATGCAAATGGCATGGATGTGAGTCAGTATGTGCGGTTTGGGTAAAATATTTGTGATATGATTTAAAGTCAAGCTTCATCTTAAGATTCACCACCTAATAGATTTAAAACATGTGGTGGAGCATGAGCAGATGAGATACCATGGAAATATTCACCATATTCTGATCTGAAAGATGAGAACAAGGTATGAACTGCTTCCGTGTTCTGTTCTTTCATTTTCAACAGTTAAAACAAAAGCTGTGGCTGTGTTAAGTTAAATATATAAAGAAATGATAAAATAATCATTTCAATAAGGATTTATTTTTTTGTACTGTCTTAAATTGAAAGCAGTAGGTCATTTATATATAAAGAGAAGCATTTAGGTATTGCACATTTTGCAGTCAGGATACAACAAAAAGGGTTCTGCGCAGTATCCTTTGCACACAGACCTCAGATGTTGTAACTGGAATATTCTGGAACACCCTCCCAGAGTTACGGCCTCTAAAGCTCCACATTACCACTGAGACCACCTCTGCCTTCATCCTCTTCTGTTCCAGTTGTTCCTTCAGTCTCTCGATTCTTCTCGACCTTTTCATGCTTTTTCATCTTCACGTCAGTGTCAGCTGCCACATCTATTGCAACTGCCCTCTTCTGCTCTTTGTCAACCGCCACTATGTCTGGTTGGTCAGCCAGCAGCTGCCTGTCAGCGTGGAACATCGAGTCCCACAGGATCTCAGCCCTGTTGTTCTCATCCACTTTCGGCGCTGTGCTCCATAGGGACTTGGGGACTCCTTGTCCATACTCGGCACAGATGCTCCTGCACACCATTCCACTCACTCGGTTGTGCCTTTATAATTATTAAGTAGACTCTGACGTGTTGTTGCATGGCCTCCAATAACCAAAGCTTATTTAAGATTGTCATGGTTTGGCAGTGCTCAGAGGCAGCATCTCAGTGTCACAGGTCTGCACCATTTTTTTCCCTGCTGTGAGGATAAACTGGTGTCATATCAGTGGAAATTGGGCGTAAATCTGCAGCGGCTGGATCTCATCCCATTTTTGATGAAAGACCTGATGGATTTGCTGGTTGTGTATCACCATGTTGCAATCGACGGCATGCCTCAGGCAGTCTGTGGAGTTTGTTGCTGGGAGAAAATACCAGTAAAAGCCACTCAGACTAAGCATGTCCTTTATGTCATGCCATTTACGGCTTTAAGTTCAGGGCTCTTTGAAAAACACCTGGTGAGGCATTGTTCCATTGGGTTCATATTAACTATAATTTGACCTAAATGTTTTGTGCAAATGGCAAATTGTGGTACTTTTTTCAAACTAGCCACCTTTCTTTAATGTATATGAGGGATGACATACACCTCGGGGTTAAAATTGCTCTTGTATACCACCCAGATAGCTGGGAAATATTATTTAAACTTGAAAACTAGCACTTTGAACATCTTTTTTGGTCTTTGTCACATTTTTAATTGCTTTGAGCTCATTTTTATTGCAGTTTAAAGTCCTGCACCTCTATGGAAGCAGCGCAACTATCACTCGAAAGTACAGTTAACTTTGCTCTTTTGTGCAAAATGTCTTTTGTGGAGTATAACAAGGTTATAATGCGGTTAATCACAAAACAGTTTAAATTCTTTGATTATTTATTTTTACAAAAAATTAAAAACAAAACAATCACCATTTTCAACATTTTTCCAAGTGCCCCCATCTTATACCAGTCATGAAAAAAAATGGTATCTAAACATAGTATTTATTTATTTATTTATTTATTTTTTTTTGTGACTTAGAAGATGTGTTGTTCTCATACTTGTCTTGCTTCTGCTCATGTAAGCACAGCCTGCAGTTCAGCTGGAAAGTCCTTGAGTTTTTGTCAAATAACTGCTTGTCAAAGCTGAGTCACTCATGGCTCCATGGTTGTAACGAGAAGCAGAGAATTTTTTGTTTGATACAGAAGTTGGTCCGAAAGACGAATTTTTAAATGGGACGTAAAGTGGTTGTGATGAAATACCACAATTTTAAACTTTAGGAACTGTATGTCACAGATGAGTGCCAGGACCATCAGAAAGTTGAGAATCTGACCATTCTTTGTCACATTTTGTTTGTTTGTGTATTTGTTTCACAGTTTCTGGCTTTCATAATAGTATAGTTTTGGTCTTTAAAGATTACATGCCTTTCAAAACCACGGGTAGGCTTCGGGGTTCAGAGCCTTAAATTTGAAAAATGCATCTTTATTTTTTGGACTGTCTGATTTCTGTTGGTGACACCATTTTTTGTGTATTTGTGTGATTCACAGGAATCCGCCCTGCTTGACCAGAACGCCTGCCTTGCTGTGTTTGTTAGGCTGCCGTGATGCTTGGGTTACAGGGAAATACTTCCTCCAAAGTGTACCGTTGCGTGGCTTGCTCAGCCACCTTCACTGGACTGGCCTCCCTGCTGGTGCATCAGGCGAGCCATGCAAGTGCAGTCTCCAAGGTCTCGCCCCCTACTCCAACACAGCAAAACATCAGCCAGCAGGAACCGCCGTTCGCAAGTCCAGACTCATCCGGCGAGCACACAAGTCCCCCAACAATGTTGCCTGAGAGCCCTTCACCTTCCTTTTATATTTGTGATTGTGGAGAGGAATTTCATGACTTTGGTCTTATGCTGGAGCATAAGCGCTCACATGTCTCTCCAGCACAGCTACTTCATCCCCTGGATAATAATATTGTTCTTTCTAGTGGAACAGGCTGTGAAAAGGTTTTTCCCACTCAGCATATGCCATTTTCTCCTGTATCCCAGACAAGTTTGGCTCTTAGTTGCCCCTCTACCTCCAAGTCCCCAGCTGTTGAATTACCCACAATCACAGCCCACAAAGCAGATGTAAGCCTGGAGGATGGGATTGCCATAGTAACCTCTCCCCAAGGCCAGTGTACGCCCCCTCATGATGACAGTGATAAACCACTTGACAACGTGTCGACCACAGCAGAGCAAATGCCAGAGACTGTAGAGGACATGCATTTCAGGGACAAAACGAATTCAATTCACAGCAGCGAAACAGGCTTGTCCAAAAGTAACACCCTTATGAAGATGCTGGCGTCGGCATACATGAAACGCTTTCCACTTCCTCAGCCTCACAATCAGAATGAGAACACCGTCGGCCCCAAGCAGGAAGTTGTACCTGTTCATATAACACCACAAGCAAAGACAGGGATGCCACCAATCAATGATCTGTCTATTGCACAGTTGAGGCGACTGCTTGCAAAGCCTGGAATAAAGACGAAAGCTCCATCCATCAGCAGAATTCTCGAATCCAGTAAAAAGAAAATTGTTTCTCTAACTAAGACTTTGTCTCCTGTCGTGGTTCTGGAGACCCGTCAGAAGCTCATGGATCCTGCGGGCAATGGTGTATATGGGAGGTATCAATGTGGCCGCTGTCGTCGGGTGTTTCAAAACTTGGACAGATTGACGGAGCATCATTTCTTGCACAAAAAAGAGAGGATTAAATGTTGTCGTCGTTGCAAACAGCTAATTATCGGGCGGCTGCCTTTGCAAGACAATCATGTATGCCCTCCGTTAGGAAACAAGAATATACAGGCATCAAGCTCTTTTAAAAACAAGTCTCCCTTTGCTCAAAAACTAGTGCCATTCCATAGTCTGAACAATGCCAAAAAGGTTTTCTTCTGTCCAATGTGCAAGCACAGCTACGCACGGAGGTGGAACCTCAAAACGCACAGGTGTCACGGTGCAGCGTCAGCCCTCTCTCGACAAACCAACACCCCATTTCAGAAAATGTTTGTACTGAGGTCAAACAGTGATGCCAACACTGGTATAGAGGATGTTACAGCTGAATCTCAGGGGGCCAGGAGTGTCGGTGTGGGCACTGAGATTAGTGATCGTATCAAGGTGGAGGAGACTTCTCCAAATTCAGAGCAGTCTGCACTTTCACAGTTGGCCTGGGCTCGTCCAGCAAGAAGCTTCTCCCCATTTTCCCCCACATCTTCCATGATGGAGCAGCACAAGGATCCCTCCCTGTCTGGGAATTTACTCAAGCAAGGAGAAGAAAACAGCTGGGAGGCAGAAGCACTCAATAACCAGGACACTAATGAGGGACAGTGGACGATGCCGTTGGATGATGAAATGGAGATGCTAAATGCTGCTGTGAAAGCTGTTAATGACGGAGAGGGGAAGAAGCCTGTGTCAGCCGAACATGTAGAGATGATGGCTCACGGCCTGCGCTATTTTGTCAGAGACGGTGTAAAACGTTACCCTTGCAGTAGGTGTCAGAAAACATACAGTCGAGCGTCTACATTGAGGCGTCATCTGCGACTGTGTGGCTTTAGGCCACGTGGGTTTGGAACTTTAGCACAGAGTGGAGGTCAGGGTGCCATAACACTAAATGCCAGCAGTGTGAAACCAATGTTTTCCTGCTTTGTGTGTGGGAAGTCTTTTAACCGCAAAGATAACATGATGGTTCACAGAAAGAGATGTCAGTTTCAGCGAACAATGGCAGAAGCAGAAAGGGGGAATGTGCAGCAGAGCTTGCCAAGCAATGCAACAGCAGACTGTCCACCAAAGGAGGACGATGGAGGCAACTGGGGCATCATGTCACTGCCCTCTGTGCTTCCCAGGAGGGTGACATGTGAGTGTGGGGCCGGATTTACATCTCCGAGGCTTCTCTTGGAGCATTTGCAGAAACATGCCCAAGAATCGTACACATGTCCGACTTGCGGAGAGACTGTTAATTCCTGGGCAGACTATGAAGTTCATCTGCAGATTCACATGCATCCTCACCACCAGCTGCTGAAGGGACTGCAGCCGCAAAAGTCACAGCCTCTATTACTCAGATTCCAGCAGCAACAGCAGCAGCAGCAACAACAACAACAACAACAGCAACAACAACAACAGCAACAACAACAACAACAACAGCAGCAGCAGCAGCAGCAGCAGCAACAACCACCGCCTCAGCAACAGCAGCAGCAGCAGCAGCAGCAGCAGCCGCCGCCATCTCAGTCAGTGCTTCAGCCTCCCCAGAAGCATCCCCACCTACAGCTGCTTTCACATCCAACAAAAAAACAGTCGCGGATTGTATGCACAAGATGTGGGAACACTTTTGCGACCCGCTGTTCCCTTCGAAGACATGTATCCTGGAATCGATGCAAAGGTGTGCGGCTTACAAGTCCACTCACAGTTCCACCCAGAACCTATCACTGCTCCCACTGCAACTCTGATTTCCCGAACACAATCAGTCTGATATTTCACCAGAGGAGTGGCGCTTGCAAGCCTGCCATCAAGCCTTCTCGCTGCCCTGTTTGCCTTCGCTGGTTCGGTACTGTGGACAGTTTGCAGAAACACCTGCTCACTCACAAACAGTCTGAGTCATATCGCTGCGATGTCTGTCAGGGTACGTACCCGAACCTTAAATCACTGAAAAACCACCGCAGGAGGATTCATCGCATCATGGCTGGAGAAGCAAGGCCAACACCACAAGAACAGATGAGTTCTTAACAACATTTTAGTCTTTAAAAAAAAAAAAGTCTAACATGGGAGTGGTGCATTTTAGAACTGAGCACATTTTATTAGTATTGCTTTGTTCTTTCCATATTTGCCGGACGTACTTTTAATTTTATTTTATTTTTACCTTGCAGAGGTTATTTTGACATTGTACAGCTATATGAGGTGTTTTTTAAGAAACTTTTGGGTGTTATCATAGCTTGCCACTGTTTTTTTGTTTTTCTTTTAAAGAAAAAATAAAATAAAAAAGCTTTGATATACTGTATATTTTAGTTTTACTAAGTTAATCCCTATATTGCATAGCCTCATTAGCCTGTAAATGATATTTCAAGTATTTGGTAATCAGACTTTTATCATGAACTTGGTGATGTAGCTTGTTGTTGTCGTTGGTGTCAATAAACATACCAGTATGTGAAACTTGGATCATTTTGTGGTGTATGGGCTCTAATATCTTCAAGGCTTCAAGAGAGAAAAAAAAAGCAGGATTAACACATGAAAGTGTTATTTTCACTTGACAGAGCATGTTTTATATCATTAGTGAATTAACAGAAGTTTGTCTTTTAAATATGTGTGAATAAGTTCAGACAATAAAGGTCTGGGGTGGCTCTGTTTACTGCTGTCCATACTACATGTCTTAGTTTTGATCATCAGAATTGTCAAGATTGCATTTTCAGACACTGTATGCCACAGTGCCACATGTGGGGCATTATATCATCACGTAAAATATAATTGAAAAAAAAAAGGTGCAGCAATTCAAGTAAGTTTTGGGGGAAAAAGTGATTTAAAGAATTAATTTAAACTAGCTCAGAAATAACTACTCACGGCTTATGTTGTATTGTGCCAAAATTCTTATGAAATAAATATTTTGCTGGGTATTCCACAGCGCTAAATGTCTGTGCCGGCCTGTGCTTTCAGCTGTATCACACACCCCTCATCAGCAGATGGAGGTAAGACTGTCGCTAATAACAAGACTAGACTGTCAGGTCCTCTACAACATCTGTATCTCCATGGCAACTAAAGGAAGTCAATCTGTTGGTGGGGATGGTACCAGAAGTTAAAGCAACGAGGCCCAGCTGTTGAAATTATGTCAGCTGCAATTTCATATAAAGTTTATTTATAGAGAAATGCAACATCCAACAAGCATATACATACATCTATAAATAGGGATAACTGGCTTGTGGCGGCCAAGCGCTCATAGCGACGTCGCTGTCTGATCCTTGGATGTCGGCTCTTCCTATCATTGTGAAGCAGAATTCACCAAGCGTTGGATTGTTCACCCACTAATAGTTTTAGGTTAGTTTTACCCCACTGATGATGTGTTGTTGCAATAGTAATCCTGCCCAGTATGAGAGGTGTGTGTGTGTGCGCGCGCAAAAAGCAAGACAGAAAACCAGGTTAAAAAACAAAAGTTTTAAAACAAAACTACTAGAAACGCATTAGGTAACATGTTCATACATTAACATGCACCTCGGCACTGTAGTCTTAAATCTGTCCCACGCAAAGTTAAGTGTTGATTAAACTGTTATTTTATTGATTAATGGATTAGTTGCCTGTAAAACATCAATCAGCTGAC